CAAGGAAACTGCCTCTGATGAAGTCAGAAGTGGAGGATGTGGAAAATTAGTTTTCTTTTAAGGAAAAAGGTTAAAATTGCTGAGATGAAACAAACAAATAAACAAAACAAAACATGGCTCATTTTGCAGTATGCAAAATAGTGTTCTTTGTTCCTTCCCCTCAAACCCTTCCAGGCTCCCCCATCCCACTTAAAAGATCAACAGGAAGCTGCCTTCTGGGGGAGGTAATACACTTTGCTGGAAACTCACCTTTACAACCTGCTGATTGCCATCTATTTTTATGGCCCAAATGAACAGCATCACCTTCCTCCCTCCTTTACACATAAAAATTAAATTTTTAAAATCCATAATAAACCTTGTGAGAAGGTGAATTATATTTTTGACTGGCACCACTGAGGCGACCTCTTGGTGCTTCAGTGGGCTATGCCAGCTGGCCAGAGGGGCTGAGAAGTGAGCTAAGCCAGTGAGCTTATTGAAGCCTGGCCAGCAGACAGAGGAGAGATGGAGAGCAGCAAGGGCACAAAGATGTGGGATTGGGGATGGGAGGTGGAGCTGGAGCAGTTGACTTTGGTTAGTATGTGAAGATCTGTTTGAGGGCAAGAGCCGTGGTACTGTGTGTCTTCACTGTGGTTCCAAAGATTACATGAAAAGGACAAACAGGAAAACAAAACAAAACGCACCAAAGAACAGAGAATAGGATAAGGGGAGACATTTCCTTCCCAAATGGACTTAAACAGTTAAATGGATCTTAGCAATTAGAATAATTAGATAATTAGATTGTGACTCTGTGGGCAGGAGACAGAAACCTGTCTTGGCTAAGTACACTTGGTAGCAAAATGCACTCAGTTATGAAAGAAGTTCTCAGTTAGCAGGTATATTTCAAATATTTATCAGAAATAAAATAAAATAAAATAATGCAGCTGATGAGTTAGAGTTAGCCAGCAAAAGGGATTTTGCCTGGGGCTCCATTAGAGTCTACACTCCCAAGGCTCACTCTCAGTCCCACCTTCACTTGCACCTCCATCAACAGATTTTTATTTAAGCCAATGCATTTAGAGCACAATTCCCTGGTGAATAACCTTTAAGGTTACATTTGCCTTTTCCTTGCTTCTTGCAAACAGTGCGTAATCCACGAGCACATTTGTTGGCTGTAAAGGTGTACAACAGCAATTTTTGCAATGACAGTGCGGAGAGGGAATATGAGATCTGTGTGCTAATGAGCTGACACTGCAGAGACTGGGGTGATGTAGTGTGGAGTGCACTACAAGTGCACAGCAGCAAGACACAGGAGGGGACTTCAAGGGAATTGAAGGCATTTCCTGAGGAATCAAGCCACTCCAAAGGACCCCGAAGTCCCTTGGTATTTTCACATCTTGCAAAGGCCTAGGATGATCAAATCTGTTTGGTGTTTTTTTTTTTTTAATTTTGTTTTATTGCTTAAAGTATTACAAAGTGTATTACATATGTCTCCTTTTTTTTGAATGAACATGTAACTTAAAAAGTGTGTACATCTCTTTTCATATATACTAATTTTGTGTGGTTGAGTGTCTCTGTATGTGTATGAATGTATGTATCTTGAAATCATAATATCCACACCATCCCTCTTTCTGGGGTTATCTGGCCAAACTGAAAAGTATGGTAGCAAACTCAATTAATCCCTATGAAATGGAAACATGGGCTCCAAATCAGATGAGTTTCTTTGATAAACTGCAATTCACCTCTGAGCTGAGATCCCAAATGAACCACCTTTCAAAGCTAGAGAGGCTTTTATTGTCTTCTTAAGACACAGAATGAAATTGGAGTCTGTCTTAAGCAAACCTCTCAAGGGTTGTGCAAAAGTAAAATAAAATAAAATAAAATATAAAATATAAAATAAAATAAAATAAAATGGTTGCTGGTGAAGAAGAGTCTTTAAATAACTGATGCCCGGGATTCCTTGCAATGAAACCTTCAGATTACATTGCAGAGGGAGTGCAGAGAGCAGTGGCATGCAGAAGGCATTAACCTTTGTTTATTTTTTGGGTATTTGTTACTATGCCCTAAAAAATGTATGTCTGTCTCAAGATTGAGGGCGCAGGAAAAATCATGGGAAAATCAATTTTAGTGCTAGGGGAAACTGCAACTAAGAATTCTGAATGAGAACAGGGAAAAGTTTCTTTAATTTTTGCCATTCCATTCCACATTGAATCAGATAGGAGAAGTGGGTGACCAGATTTGTACTTAACTGGGATTTTCTCAAATCGTCCCTAGGTCTCCAGGGAGGGGCAGACCAGAGGATCTAGGGGTCTTTTCTCTGTGAAATATTGTGATCAATTGGAAGAATGGAACCTGGCTTCACCTGCCAAACTCCAGTACTGAACTAGTATTGTATTCTGACACCTGATATATATGATCTTCACTTCCATTAGAAAAAGAACAATCAAGACCAGGGGAATATATGAAATATACTTCCAAGGCTTTCCTGGCCTTGTGAAATGATTGTTTTCTGCATTCAGAGACTATCAGACTGTGGTTGGACTAGTCATCTTTCTTATACTAAGCTTCTAGGCAGCAGCTGCCAGGAGACAGCTTTGAGATCTGGCCCCCATTCAATGATTGTGACATTCAGAGAGGACTGTTTCAGGGACCAGAGAAGATGAAAGCTTTCCTCCCCTGTCTTCTGAGCTGTAAAGCCGGAGAGTGCAACAGGCAGCTGGGTACATACACATCACTGGTTTTTGGATATTTCTCCTGTGTGTGTGTCAGTGTATGCATATGTGTGTATCTGGCATAACTGAGGGCAAGGTCACCTTTTTGTTTTGTCTTATTGCCCAGTGATCCATACCTCTTATCTCACACTTTCAAGCCACAAGCCATAACCCAGGCTTGTAAGCTTGTTAGCAGAAGTTCTGTGGATTTAGGGTGTGTGTGTGGGGGGGGGCAGGGGTAAGTTTGACCAATTTATTTTCCTTGCCCTGAGAGGTAAGGCATTAAGGCAACTGAATATCAAATCTGACTTATTGCCTGTTTTTAAACCTGAGCTTTTCACAAGGCAACGATCACTTCCTGGTTGCTCTTTGAGTGGGGTTCCTGTGCTGGCTGGTGTCAATCTGATTTGAGCATTAAAAAACAACAACAACAGAGAATTAAAAACCTTGGAAATCAATAATTTCTGAGAAGTCAATTGGCATTCTTATTCCAGTCCTCATCAGTGGGAAGACACTAAAGTGAGTTCAAATATTATTTGTTGTTAATAATAAAAAATCCTGGTGATTTCAAGTATTTGGTTTTAAATTTGTTCTAATTGATACTTAGGAAGCTGCATTTGAGCTTCACCCTCTTGACAAGATCACAGTGCTGCAGGATTAAGAGTCAGCTGTGTGTTGTAAGTGCTGTAGAGACAGGCTGGGATTACGGAAATAAAATGCAAAATATAGACAGACATTTTGTAACTTTCACACTTAGCTGGAATTAATAAGTTCCTATTTTTGTCAATGTTGGAAAGCCAAAGAATGTCAAATACAGAGTATCACAGAAAATGTTCATATAAGGACCTGTACCTTCAGTTAAAATTTTCTTAAAGTGAATACTGTCACATTTCTTGCAATGTGCTTCACCCCCATCCTCTTGGCCTGAGTCTTAAAAGTCCAAGGAACCTGTGCTCTTGGAGACTCAACAGTTTTTGGAAATCACATATCCTTTGAGGCAGAAGAATTTGAACTCAGTCATATATAAATTTTCACACAACAGAACATAAATATAACTTCTCCCTTGAATGAAAGCCAGAAAACAAAAAAATTCCAAACTGCACAAGCCATAAAAGCAAAAACATATTTATGTCATTATCAGCCTCATTGTTGTAAAAACTTTTAGTGCAATAAGCTTAGATAAAGAATTATCAGTCTTTTTCATAAACCATTCCATTCAAGAAAAACCTGTGTCCAACAGGCTGTCATTTGGGTTCCCTTGGTTTTACTCCTCAAAATGTCCCCTTTCTAGAGGAACATTTACCATGGCACAAACAGGCATTTCAGAAATAGCTTTGGGGCTCATGAAATTCCTCCTTTTTTATATTATTTGCCTGCTGCAAGCCTCCCCTCTCCACCTTTTGCTTTAAGTTAAGAAATGTGTTGTCCTTAACAATGAGGTGTCAGGGTGAACAACACTAGGGGAGAAAAAAAGAAGCAGCTTTCCAAATAGTCACCTGAGCTCTGTCCTCTCCTGTCCCCTCAGTTTTCCAGGTGTTCATCACTTGTAATCAGTTTGTAGTCTTATCAGTTCCTATCAGAACTCTCTAGGTAAGAAAGGTGATATTCTAGGATAGAAAAAGGCCAGGGAACTAAGCCTGACCTGTCCTTCAAGGTCACTTGTTTGCAGAATTTCCCATATTTGGCTCCTATCTATTAGGCAATTGTCAAATTCAGCTAATTTCTACAGCCAGGCACAGCTTTAATAGTCAAGTAATGTAAATCCTGAATTGACTCAATCAAGAGGCTTCTTTTTTTAATCCCATCTGAAGAAATTTCCCTGAACAACCATGCTATTTTTTCTTTCCTTTTTCTGCCAAA